ATTTTTTTATCGTTATATTAATAATAGTAGCTGTGCATGTTATACCTAATCAAATGGAATTAAGAGGCTTCTCGTTGGGGAGTTCCCACAAGCTGGTTGTTCTACTATATCAATTTTTTTTCTTTTTTTTTCCATACGCGTAGTTACCAGATGATACTATGGGCCTTTCTTTAGTATACGTAAAACTCTTTTGGGTCTGTGGCCCCGTTATAGGGATGACGCTGTAAATGGAGTTGGGATATGGTGCTGAATATAATAAAATGTTGGCGGAACAGCTTTCTTATTTAGCTTTTCTCGACATAGTATTCCAATCATATTGTCAATTGTTATTCATTGTTTGTTTTAGTTTTGGTTCTCCAACCTCACCTGGGGTAAAAGTCTGCTGAGTTAACTTTGTAACGTGAAAAGTGTATTTCCAGCAAAGTCGAAGACGGTCTAGTTGGAATGTGCTTATTGTTAGTAGCAAACACCCGACTTGCCCATAGTTTTTCCCACCGGTGGAGATGTTAATCAGAAAAGCACACGAATCGTGTTTGCAGGACTACTTCGTACAAAGCTGTTCGCTAGCACATGCAGCCACCTGTGTCTCTTTTACGAACCGGCTCGGGCAACCAGAGAGAGAGAGAGAGAGAGAGAGAGAGAGAGAGGGAGGGAGGAAAGAGATTAAGGGGTAAAAGACAGTGAAGAGCAAAAAATAATAAGGCTAAGCAATATATTGCATATTACATATTTCATAATGTATTTTTACTGGAAATATTTTTTCAGCGTATTAGCAACTTATTGTTATGCTTTTGACAAAAACTACCTTTTCCCAGGTTCACTTGATCCGATTATACAAATAAAAATACGTCATACGGATTTTACTCAATCGCATATCTGTATTTGCAATGGTACAGCGGTACACGAAGCTAGAACCGGCCCTCAACTCTCTGGGCCATGGTACCCTAGTAGAGTACGGAATCCAGACTCTATTGCTCCAAAAAAACCAAGTCGGGACAAGCTCACGAACTTTTAGAAGTTCTTGACGATTTTGAGGGGGTCACCAAGACTCTACAGCGCTCTACCCAGACACTCTCTGGGGTTCGTCGACTTTTCGACCTGGTGTGTCAACGGTACCCCCAGCTGAAGCCTCGCCTGTCCCCAACGGCTACCATCGTCAACTACGTGGCGCTGGAGACAGGGTTGGTCAAACTTCAGAGGAAGGGGCAGCTCTCTGCTGGAGAGCGCGTTGCATGCGCTGATTTCCGGCGCACTGGTCGAGACGTGACGGAGGAGATGTCTTCAACGCAGGCTGCACAGCTGTCGCTTGTTCAACAGGCCTTTAAGAAACGCAAAGTCTCGAAGCGCTCCTTGTATGACGACGTGGCGTTCATACCGCCCACCTCGAACGAGTGTGAAAGGTTCTTTTCGTCGGTGAAGCTCGTGTACCCCGACCTCCGGAGTGCTTCTAAGCTTGAGGTACTAATGTTTCTTATGTACAACCGCGATTTGTGGGATGTGTACACAGTTGAGTCGGTTAGACTGTAAGAAGCGCATACGCGCTCCAATAATGCAAAGTTATTGCATTATTCATTCTATGCTGTCTTCTGAGCTCATTAATATTACTACGGGATATTACCTTTCACTGGTAAAAGAGACTTATTATCTTTAATGCCTTGAGCTGGTGCCTATACTCTAGATCGGATTTATTCTTCTAGTTTAACCTCCTCCCTCCTACATTAGATACGCAGCCTGCCGGTGATTTCCTAACCACCGACGGGGCACAACGAGACGGGTATAGTGGAATCGTTGACCAAATCCGGCGCAGAGGCATCCTAACAGCGGACCTACTACCGCAGTGATTCTCAGCGGGTATCACGGCCGCCACGAAGTTCACTTCTTAGGTCTGGGCCTCGCCGACAACACGTGGAACGAAAAATAACGTGCATTGGAATGGAACTGAGCAAGGGTCGGCGTTAACACCTAAAAGACCCTCTCTTGCTGCGGGATCCTAATGAAACTCGCCGGGCTTACTCTCGCGGTGAAGAGTCGACTCCCTGTCCTCCCTTGCTCATTAACGGCGGCGGAGGGGGGGGGGGGGCTCAAGGGTGACAATCGCCGCACTTGCTGTAGGTCTTCAAAACGCCGCATACAACAACTGGGGCTTAGTCTGCTCAGGTTCGGTCTGGTTACCCTCACTGCCCGGACTTGTTCCTCGTCCTGAACGCAAGGCCCATTGCCAACCACGAAACGAGGGTCCGGATGCGGTAACTAGTGTGCTGCCATTTATTCATGTAGGGTCTCCCAATCCACACCGAAGAATCTCCTACCAGCTCCTGGTTGTGGGGCCCCGTTGCCCAATTATGAGCGGAAGCCAATTTTCTTGTGACTGCAGATTGCGAACTCGGGCTCGCGGACAGTCCGAATGGAGCGCTGGCATCACTCCTTTCTCGCTCACAGCCAACGCCAGTGTGGCGTTAGATGACAATAAACTTTTGACTTCTTCATCATTTAAAGACGTGAACG